ACGGTGTAGATTTAACGATTTTTCTAAAAGATTGCAGTTTTCAAATCAATCAAAATTACCTATAATCTGTGGAATTTTTCTTCTCTTAAAATTAAATTTACAAAGTCGACATCAAGCAATTTAATTCTTCAATAGCTATTTAATTAAATTATAAAAATTCAAATGTCTAAATGATAATATTATATTTTTAATACATTACAGTAATTTCGCAAAAAGTCTTACAACTATTAACATATATTATAATTTAGAATTACCTATTAGTTAAACTGTCTTCCTTATGTTGAATTAGTCGTAGTATCTATGAGTAACAAGCTTTGATTCCAATATTCCAATAGATAATACTTTAGAAATTAAGGAAATGTTGAAGAATTTTTGGTATGTTTATTAATTTTGGTAGTTTGTTGATAAAGTTGGAATGTTGCAACTCTTTTGTATTAATTATATATAAAAAAAATGCAGTCTAATCTTCCAAGTAACTTAACAAACATAAAGGGTAAAATTTGATTCTTTAAAAGTTTAAATATTATCAAATGATTGACAACAATAACATTTTTCAAGAAAAGAATACAAATTATGTTAGACAATAATTAATGGATTAATTAATATGAAGTTATAGAATTTACTTACTGTCCAAAAGAAAGCTATCTGTATCTTCCATTCAGTATAAATTAAATGCAAAATATTGAATTTTCCGTGTTTAAAAAAATATAACATTCTCATATTTGTGAGCTTTAACTTTGTTGATGATAATTATCTATTTTCTTTATGTTACTATGGAAGTGGTTTAAAGTTGTCTTTGGTAAAGATAGGATAGGAATTAATTAGCTTGAAAGTGTTTTTGTTTCTCTCGAAATGAGTAATTTGAATTTATTTGCATGCGTGTTTTGAAAGATAGATTAATTTCTTTTTTTTGTAAATTCGCCTCTCTCGTTTAATGTTTGTGGTATATTTACTCCAAATATAAGCATGCTATTATTGTGTGTTCTGTAATTACTGCAATCTTTTTTCCAGTAATGACCTCATGTCTGTTATTAATTCCTCATCTGTTTTCCTTTAGGTGCTTAAACATAAGATAGATGGAATCCGGAGGATAACGTCGCATCCCTTGATGCCACTTTGTGAGTGTTGCAATAAGTGATTTCTATGATTCGTACGTTACATCATTCGATGTTTTCCAGATCTGACCGGATGCCAGGATGGTTCCGTTCAATTATGGGAATGGGGTCATTCGCAGCCGGTGACGACGCCGCGACCTGCGGGCACCTATGCTAAGGTCACTAGGGTGCGTTTCTCGCAACACGGAAACAAATTTGGAGTCGCCGATTCCGACGGAAACTTGAGTCTTTGGCAGGTCGGCCTCTCCGCAAACACCAAACGGCCTTTCTTCGTAAGAAACTGCAAAATCATTGACTTTTATAACATCTATCACTCATCATCTTCGCTTTCTTTCCAGACGCACCAATGTCACAACAAGGGGATCACGGACTTCGTGTTTCTTAACTCTTGCAGTCTTCTAGCTACAGGTAATATATATTTAAGATGTAAAATATTAAATGCAAACAATATTTTACAACTTAAGAAATTTATTTGTCTCTTATCTCTTAGTTCATAAACAAGCCCATTGTGTTTGTTCGTGAATTTCTAGGAGACAATTCTTTTAGATACAGAATGTATAAGAAAATTAACTAATGTTTTGATTTTATTTTCAGCTGGTCATAGCTCGGAAAGCAAGAACGTGTGCATATGGGATTCGATCTTGCCGAAAGGAAAGTCTTTGGTGGTGGCGTTCACCTGCCACGATCAAGGTGCCAGTAGCATGGTCTACGCGCCGCAGCACCAGGTTCTGATCTCGGCTGGAAAACGCGGAGACGTCTGTCTCATCGACGTCAGAATGAAGACTATTCGACACCGCTTTGTGGCGCACGACAACGCTGTGAAATGCGTGGCCATTGATCCGCACGAAGAGTATTTCGCTACCGGATCTGCGGATGGTGACATTAAGGTAATAATTGATCGCATAAATCCATGATATAAATATACACATCAAGTTACGTTACATTTTGCTCAGATCAGTGTTTATAAAGAGTAACTTGTAACTTTAGAGAGACAATGATTGGCGGAATTTCGCCATGTCGGTATTTCGATATAGTCTCGGACCAAATGCCTTCTTGTTTTGCTTTTATAGCGAACACAAATTATATTCGAAGTCTAAAAACAAAATGATGATGTAGTAGGCGTACAATCCTGGACGTATCCTGTTGTTACAATTTGTTTTGCTCGTTAAGTGAAGTTGACAGACTGCTTGATTATTCACATAGAGATACATTGTTTAACATCTTTTCAATTTCAGATATGGGGTGTTTCTGTTCCTACGGTACTGTTGTCTTTGCCTGCCGAACATGCGAGGAGCAGCTTCTTCAAGAACATTGGTCAGGGAGTGACGCAACTGCACATTGATTCCCATGCCAGATTGTTCTCATGTGGTGCAGATGGTAGCATGAAAGTAAGGCAGCTACCCGATCGGGAGAATCTGTTAGCCACGTCGCACCATTAAATAAATAAAATAAAGAAATAAATAAATGTGTTATATAAATATATACATACTTATATATATATATTACGCTTTGTGTCCCGCTTTTTTTTCTAAAAGCAACGATTTTTTATTATTATTACTTAATTGTTATTTATGTTATGAAAAGAACTTTCTTAAATGTTAAATTTGACCCCGAAATGTATAATTTGATTAAATGTGATAGTGTTGTAGTTCAAGTTCAAATTTAGTGTTATACATATAATAATTACGAGATGTAAAAGTTTTATCCCAAATATATATATTATAATGTGCTGCTGTTGTAATTTCTACAAGAACACCGAGAAATTCATGTACGTTTGAGAATGTATTGAAAGAACTAAATAAAAATCAAACATTTTAAACAAAATTCTATTAAAAATGAATACTTACCTTCACCATCAAATCATCATGTAACGTCTACATTTCTATTGTCAGTGTTTTGTCCAACTTTCAATAATGATAAAAACTTAAAATTAAATATAATTCATAAGAAATAACTGATGAAAATTAAGAATACAATATTATACTTCAATTTGCTTACATTTATATCTATATCATATAGATCTTTTAAATTCATTTTATTGAAAAATCTAAATATTTCGAAGATTATTTTTTGATTGGTCAACATTGACGCTAATCCGAGACACTGAAGAATCGTTAACCAATAACAATGTTGACCTTGTTGAAAAACGCCCATTATTTTTTTTAAATTTAGCAATTTAAACCTATTGTTTCATTATCATCCATAAGTTGTTATTTTTAGTAGATGTTATAATATAAACATATTAACCTAAAATTTTGTGTCAATTATTAATTGATGTTTGTTATCCCAAAAATTAAAGTATTGGTAATATATCTCTGATAAGTCACAGAATTGATCGGCAATATAATTTCAGTTATTGAGTTGCCCATCAATAATTAAGCATTGTAAATTTAGAGGCATGAGTCTGAAGTACTTGACACAGGATGAAGCAACAAACATTGATTTGGAACTCTTCAATGAGTACAAATTCAGTGTCGATCAGCTCATGGAGCTGGCTGGTTTGAGTTGTGCCACTGCAATTGCCAAAACATACTCCAGGGAGCAGTTGGCAGGCAAAGATATTTTGGTATGCTGTGGGCCTGGTAATAATGGTGGTGATGGACTAGTTTGTGCCAGACACCTGAAGCTCTTTGGCTATCAGCCAATGGTCTATTATCCTCGGAGAACAGAGAATACCCTGTACCAAAACTTGACACTACAATGCACTGCAATGGAGATACCACTTACAGAACAAATCCCTCAAGATGTTTCCAAGGTGGGGCTTATTGTGGACGCTATTTTCGGTTTCAGCTTCAGACCTCCAATCAGAGAACAGTTCATACCTATAATAAATCTGATGAAAAATAACGAGACAATACCAATCGCCAGGTACAATTGAAGAGAATGCATTTCTAATTGGAATTGCTGACGGTTTTATTTTCAGTGTGGATGTGCCGAGCGGTTGGGACGTTGAAAAAGGAGAACCGGAAACGGGCGGCATCAAACCCGAATTGTTGATTTCACTAACGGCCCCAAAGATTTGCGCTAAAAAGTTCGAAGGGAAATACCATTATCTAGGTGGCAGATTCGTCCCACCAGGTCTGCAAAGGAAGTATAATCTAAATTTACCGGACTATCCTGGAGTCGAATGTTGCATGCTTATCAAATGAATGGGATACATTAAAAAAAAAGGACGTCTTATAAGGCGGGGTCTACGTTTTCTAAATCATGGTGATTAAATGTAAAGCAAAAAAAAGATATCAATAAAAATAATTAATCTTGAAATGTTCAACAATTAATTTATTTTTTTTTTCGTTTTCGTAATGTCCATTTCATTTAATTAACAAATTATTTATACATAACTCTATTTTATTATATATATTTGGTAAAAATCAAAGAAAGTCGTTTGGGCGTGTGTGTTTTTTTTTAAATGGCATTCAAAGAAAATCCAGTGGCAAATAATAAGTATAAAGTTTTTGATTTTTTTTTCATCTTCTTCGTCCTTTTTTTTTTTGATCTTGGCCACGTTTATGTCGACTAGTAAATGTTAAAAATAATTCTTGCTGTTTCTCTCTTCTGCTGCGAGACGGGATCACGAGGAAAGGAAAAAATAGTATGATGAAGTTTAAAAATGGGAGGAGTTGGGTGGGGTTGGGCGTAACTAAGGGTGGAGCTTTCGTTATGAAACGTCGCGATTGGTGCAATGGAAGTGGCGCCGGTGGGGTTCAGGCGTGTATCGGAATTTGGCCCGAACGTGTTGCGGCGAACCAGGCACGGAGGAGCTCTCGGAGAGGCGTCGCGGCGGGGGCATCGGTGGCATAGGACTGATGTTCCTGAATAGAAAATGAACATAAGCCTTCATCTAATCAATGTAAATCTCTGTTTACCGACCTTCTAGACAATCCTGGAGAGGTGCTTTCCAAGAAGGTCCTCCTACTGGCCAATGGACTATCGCCGATTCCGCGATTGTAACGAGGTGGCGGATCGGGGCTTTGGTGCCGTGAGGACCTTGCGCTTCCACCGCGCTCACTATTTACATGCTTAAAATATGAAGCTGGTATCCGTCTTCTACCTGTTAACAAAATATTACATATTAACCGGTTTGTATAAGAATCCTAACAGTATCAAAATCCCGTGTTTTATACCTACGCTAAATTAAAACTATCTAGTTAAATAACACTTAGACTCATCAAGAATTGCAAAAATTAATACATATATTACAGTCCTTGATTTGTCAGTTTCCTGACGGGAAAAGGACAAGTAGCACCACGTTTGCAATTAAGCTTTACAATGAAATAATCAAGTAATTATAATTTGAACTACAAACGGTAGTCAACGAAACGAATTCTAAATTTATCGACTTAGAATTACACTGATTCGAGTACAAAGGCTTATCCTTCTAATAATTTTCATTTTATAAAATTTTATATTGAAAAATGTGTTTTTTTTTATATACCTGCATCGGTTTTGGCCAGCTCCTCGGCCTCCTTCGCCTGCTGTTGCTGTTTCTGCTGGTGGAAATAGCGTTGCAGGACGATGGGACTAGTGTTCCCACTGTTATAGGGAAGGGTGGTGTCTGGGGGTTGTGCGTAATTCCTCTGCGACATTGGCGAGTTCCAACGCTGCGAGGATCTGAAAGGACACGACGTTTGGGGCTGTTCTGTCGCTTGATTCGTTATAAAATTGGTGAATCGCGAAATGTGCCCTCCGCTTCTTCCGCCGCCGCCATCCATCGCGTCGGGCGCTGCTGGTTCGTGTCTGGTGGCACCGTTCAAATAGTTGTTTCGCACTGGCGGCGGCTCAGAGTGTTGCCTCATATGAAAAACCTTCCTAAGTTGACTCACTTGTGGCGATTTCATTTGCCTATATAACATACATATGTAATCGTGATAATTTAAATTTGTAGTTTCAATATGATCTAAAAATAATATTTACCTCCTTGGTTCGCCCGGATGCATTGCCGCAGCGAACCACCGTCCCACATTTACATCGACAGTCTCATAATTCTTATAGAATGGCTCTTCCTTGAGCTTAACATACTTTGGCCTCTGCTGCTGATCTTTAATCAAACTGCAAAGCGTCACCAAGAAATATGATTGATTCAATTTGTTCGTTATATATACACGTACCAGCATTCAACGAAACTGCGGAACTCCTTGGAGAATTCCTTGTCTTCTGGTAGTTTGGGCGGGTCCTGGTCGACGACTTTGGCCAAGACCTCGAAATCAGTCTTACAATCTTGATAGGGGAATACCCCCGTTGCTAACTCGACCAGGGTGATGCCTAAAGACCAAACGTCCGCCCTGATATCGTAATCAGGATGATCCGGATTTATCTCGATCCTTTCCGGCTAAATCAATCAAATTTTGATCACAAAACTAGTTTACGAAAGGTTTAAATCTTACCGCCAGATAGGCCGTACAGCCGGCACCTCGAGTAGCTGCCATAGAATCCACAAGTCTGCCACTAATACCGAAATCACACAGCTTCACGTTCCCTCTCTCGTCCAAAAGGATATTGGAAGGCTTAACGTCGCGATGTATTATATCGCAGTTGTCTTTTAAATAAGCTAAAGCCTTAACAGTCTAAACAAAAGGGAAAAAACATAGTTTTCATGTAGCTATCTGTGTGATTTGTAAGTAATTGTAATATTTAACTGCAACAGTGACTTTGCCTAATATATGCTCTGGAATTGGCTGCTTCAATCTCTTAAGTAACTTGTCAAAGCACATTGCCATCAGCTCCATGCAAATCCATACTTCCGCCTCCGTTATAATACAACCTATACATTGAACTATATATGGACAGTCATGGGATTCATTCACTTCAATGTCCATTAAAATTCGTTTAGTCTCCACTGTGTTCCCAGTCCTCCTCATTTGCTGCAAAAGAACACAGATTAGAGCCAGCCAACAGGAAACACACAACATCCCCAAAAAAAATGTATATATACTTTAACTGCAATAATTTCACTACTTGGTATATGCTTCATTTTCACAACATGGCCACAGGTGCCGTTCCCCAGCTCCTCAATTTGCTGCAAGTCTTTAATGTCTGTATCATAAATACGTCCTCCTATCTTCAGTTTGCCACTGCCTTTCATAATCTCCTTCAATCGTTTGTCATTACTATCTAGTTCCTCATTGTGCATCGACTGTTGATGTCCAAAAGACAGGTGTTGTCTCCTTCGTTCACCTATACTCTTCACTGCAAAAGAATCAAATAAACGAAATAAATACGCTGGAAGTGAAATTGCATTATATAAACATTTTTTGGGAGATTTGGAGAAGGTCCCATTCAATAGCAGTAATATTTTCAACTTGAGCAAAAACACTCACAATTTAAATTTAACTTGTCTGGCGGGGCTGAACGGCCTTTGAATACATTATTGCTGCTATTACTCATTTCATTAAATTTGTCGAAAAGCAAGTTCAACTTGCTTCCATTCGAAGCATTCATTATTATTTTACATTAAGCAATAATAATTTGACAACTTTGACAGTTTTGACACTTGACACTGAAGGTGACAGAAGGAGTTCGATTCTATTGGCAAAGTAGCATTACCAACCTAATTATAACCAAGTTCAAAAGTTAGCTTAAAATATAATGCAGACTAAAGTTTTATAGTTTTATAACAAATGACTTAAGTATAAAATCACAGAATGAAATAGTCTTATTTATAATAAATTTAAAAAATAGTTAAATGTTATAAAAAATTGCAATTAATTAAATTAAAATTTTTCCATTAACAGCAATTATCAGTATTAATTTATTTAAACATTCAAACCAAGAATATCTTTTTTTAAATATAAAGAGATTTATATCAATTTATTTATTGATATAAATCTCCTTCGGCCACAACGACCCTTCGTATCAGATTTTCGTGATACAGACGACCATAGCCACACAAGAATATCTTTATTTATACAAACATTTTTCAAAATTATTTTTATTAAACACGTTTATTGGTTACAATGAACAAAGGGCTATAAGACTTTTCCTTTTCAAAATTGTTAAAAATTATTAAACCTATTTTCTAATAAAATAAAGAACTGAAGAAAGAAAATTTGTCTAAATTAATGAATGTCTAATATACAAATACACTGTAATAATTTTGAAATACACATTTTATTTCTCTTCATTTATTTATTCATTTAATGAATTATTCATCCGTTAAGACGCAAGTAAATAAATAAAACATGTTTTATTATGTAACATCAATTAAACTAAATAAGATATGTCAACCTATGCTTTCAAAATCGTATTAGTTTTAAAATTCGAGAATTTGTTAAAAAAATGTCCACATTTTCAGTCTTATAAAAAGAATAAAATTACAAGATAATAACATAAAGTTTCAATGTTATAAAGCTACACTCTTTAAAGGGACAGAAATTCCCAAATTTATAGACAATTGAATCAGACAACTGAATCAACATCAGATGGCATGGACTATCAAAATTAAACCCTTGATATACCAACCAAATTAAAGGGTAATTCCTCTTTCCTGTACATATTCAAAAGGTAGTACAATAGAGACACGCATTGTACCACTGCCTTCAAAGAGTTATATCTTGTTATATTGATCCAAATCCTTTAAAATTGAGAAAAATAAATTCGTATAAGAAAGTTGCGGATAAATTAAATACTTTTTTGTTATTAATTATATGTTAAATACATGATTAAATTACAATGAATAGTATTTTAAGACTAAATAAAGCACTTGATTAGTATTTAACGAGGGTTTCAGGTGAACGAGCCACCTGTTCGAAATGGCTCTAACCATCCCTTGTAACAGTTGTGTGCTAACTTCATTTGAATACTTCATAGAATAAACAATAATTTGTAAACACAAGTAAAGAGCGCTTGTTTCAATTTAGTTTGTAGCTTCGTATAATTAAAAATTATTAAAATGCACATATTTACGTATGCGTTACTACTTATATCATCTCTAAATTCTGGTAAGTTTAATTGATTGTTTGATTAACTTAAGAAGTGTGTTAATTTGTAGATTTTTATTTAAAGGTGTGGTGTTGATTGTGATTAATATATTGTATGTTGCAGCTTTTGCACTTTGGTGCTTTGAGTGTGTGAGTACCCAACCAGGCTGTGGTGATGACTTCAACTACTACTACATGTGGAGCAATGTGTGCAAAGAAGATAAGGACATTTGTGTGAAAATTGTGGAAACAAAAGGAGGTTTGTTACATAAGTCTAAATTTCTGTGTAATTTGGGTTAAATTAATTCCTTGTTCTATTTTTAGCTGAGAAAGTAATTACAAGGGCATGCCTTAGCAGGATCAGGGCTGTGAGGACTGACATTCCAGCAGACACCTATGAAGGAACTCGGATGGCAGCAAAAGATGTTAAATTGGGCCATTATGTTAACAATTCCATAAAAGAACTTGACATTCATAGGTAAATTATTGTATTAGTTTATTGATGATTTAATTAATTGTTTATGTGTTGATTGCAGGAATTACTTTGATAAGACTGAGTACAGTTTCTGTTTTCTGGATCATAGATGCAACAATGCTCCAAATAGTTTTACATCAAGTATTTTGGTGATAACAATGAGTGCCTTTGCTATTGTTGCAATTAGATAATAATTCAGTTCTGGTTTATTAATGATTATAGAATGTAAAAGAAATGGTATAAAGTTGGATACAGTGAGGACCAAAAGAGAGGTCACCAGAAGCGTTATTTGTTTGCTGCTTAAAGTTTGTTTGAGTTTACAAATAGAAATTCTGTATAAAATGCTTTTTCAAACATAATGGATTCAGAAATTTGTTGAAAATAAGTATATTTTATAATTAATCAGCTGTTTGAAAGGTTGTGACCTGTGTGCAGATTTGTTTTTGTAGCAAATCCTATTAGAATCATACATCCAACTGCTTGATGATCATTTAATAGTAATAAATGTTGGATGAATTTGAATTTCCCTCCACACTTTTGGTGATCCGAGTAAACATTAATTAATCTGTTATGTTTACTAACTATCCGTCCGAATTGATGTACATTTTTATGAAAAAATATTTGTTTTGTTAATTGTTTTAATATTTTTTGTTGACACACGTTTATCAATTTAAAATCTATACAATGTTAATAAATATAATTGAAGAATTTGTATGAAACAGTTAACATTTCGTTACTCGTGTGGCGTCCGAGAAACTCCGTTAAACGTTAACGTTAGTAATTAATTTATATAATTGATTAGATTTATATTACTTTCTAAGCATGTTTATTCTATAAAAATATTTAAAAAAAAAATATACAAAATTTGTAATAAAACTGAAAGTTATAAAAATAAAAGATAATTTTAATCTAAGAACTTAAGTCTTCTTTGGAAATGCAAACGTTACAAACATAATTCGCATGCTCTAAACATATATATTTATCACATTCCACGCATCTATATTTTGTCATACGATTCTTTTTCCGTTCGCAAAAGTTACACCTTTTTCTTACATTTTCACAACTCGTACTAGGACATGCCGGGTCTTCGTTTTCAGCTCGTTGTTCCCTATTACGTTTTCTTATGTCTCTAGGTAGGCATTGTATTGTTGATCTGTTTCGTTTATGCTCCCGTGTTAGTTCTAACGCTAAAGTTTTTATGAAATGTCGCCGATTTTTCATCTCCTTGCTTTCGTTTGCTTTGTAAATAATATAAGCATTGATGGCTGCCACGTCCAACATATTATAAAAAATTACCATCGGCCAACGGTTTGTATTTCTGGCAACTGAATAGGTAGCGCACAATTTATCAACAACTTTAACACCTGATTTTGTTTTATTGTAAAAAGTTACCATCTCCGGATTGCTTTCGTCGATTGTAGCATATTGTCCCGCAGAGTAATTATTTTGACAATGTGTAACAAACATATCGAAAATATCTCTAATTGGCGCAAACTTATCCAATCCTTTTATTTCTTTTCGTGTATCATCGAAACGTACGTGTTGTAGAAGAAAATTAAATCTGTTACGTGACATAGTCAAACGAAACAGTTCTATGCCAGATCCATCAGTACCCCAAAGATCGTTTGTATTCAGTCTACTGTTTTTATGAAACCCGGCCATATATAAGAGACCAATAAACGCTTTCAATTCTGCTAAATCCGTAGCTCTGCAGTCCCTCGCTCTTTTATACCGCTCCATCTTGCTAAAAATGTACACATTTGTATTGAGGACAATTAAATTTAGCATATCATCGTCGAAGAAAGCACTCCAACAATCCAAAACAAATTTGCCATGTTCTGCTACACCCTTTACCACAGGTAAATCGCACACAATATTCTGTAAAGATAATCCTACGTTAGAGGCAGGATTCTTCCACGTATCCTCGTCTTTTCTAAATAGTATATTTTCGACTGCATCCTCATTATCTTCATATTCACTTAAAACTTCCTGCTCTGTATCGCTCATCTCCACTTCTTCTTTTACTACTACATCATCAATACTATCGTTTGTTTCTGGTTCGTCTTTGACTTTGACATTTTCTGGATCAAAAACGTTTTTTCGATACATCTGTAAACGATGATTAATTTAATATTATCTCATTATGTCTTTTAATCACTAAAACTTACTTTTTTTTTCTTCAAAAAATGGTACAGTGAAATTTTATAAAAGCACTACTCGCGTGGTGTCTGATAGACTCCGCTAAAAATATTATGCTGTCAATCCTTCAATGCATTACTCTAAAATGGCGTTATATTCGTTTACGAATCGTCATTATAAAGAAGGTACATAAGTGGGGATAGCCCCAGTTTTACAGGTTATGGATCGTTTGTGCCCACTGGCGTCTCACAGACGCCGCGCGAGTTTAGGGAGGTACACCCGACAGTCGTTAAAATTTCGTCATTTTTTGCGCATAACGACCTTTTGTGTCAGATTGACAAACATTAAGTAATAATATACTAAGCCAAACATCACTTACATGAATATGTACTATATCATTTCATGACTTATTGAATAATTACCAAAGATAAGCATAGTACAATTTCAATATTATTATTTTTTTCTAAACCGCAAATTTTGTATAAGCTTTTTTAATATTTTTATAAAATAAACATAAATGTGTTAAGTGGGAATAATTTTGCGCTTTTACAAAATGCTGAAGTACGCCACTGCTCTGGTATCTATAGTGATGTCACGTGCAGGTACACACGTTTCTCCAATCATGCGACAATGCAGCTCCCCGAAAAACCACATCTACAATGACAATTGCATTTTTTTATCTGGTCAATATTTGCTCTGAAACAAATATGCATCACAATCATAATAGCTTTATATCCTGATCCGAATTAACGTTTTATTCCATGGATCATGGTAAACAAGCGTGTCACGTGATACGTCATGGAGGCTTCGACATGCGCGTGACAGCACGTCAGGAACAGCCAAAGACGCATATCTCTTTAGCTCTGTCACGATCAGTCACGACACGTGAACGATTCTCCGCTTCTTCTCCGGACTCCTGTCTGTGCATGATCATATTGCAATCATGGACAGCACGGAGGACTTGAACGAGACGCTGATAGAAGAAGTCCGAAAGCACAGTTACCTCTACAATATGCAATCGTTTCTGTACAGGGATCAGAAGATGAGGCAGGATGCTTGGATTGAAATAGGGAAGCAACTGAATATGTCTTGTAAGTTAGTTAACTCTTACATGTTCATTCGTCATAGGATATTTTCTTTTTTTAAATCATGCCAGTATTGCGGAGTCACGTCTTTGCAATTGCCGATGCGTATCTCGCTAGTTCAAGAGATGGCGTCGCAGTTTATTTCACTTATATAACTCATATATTTCTTTATGCGATAATATACTTATTGGGATCTTGTGCATTTTACGCTCTCGATGCCATCGAATGCGTTGGATTGATTTTAATCTTTGTCTTAAGCAAAAACGAATGGTTATGAAATTTGAATTATTTTATATTTAAATGACATTTGTTTAAAACTGAATTTGCATCATTTAAAATCCACTTAACTTCAATTAAATAAACCATGTTTATGTTATGAAATTCTATAATATAAGAAATAAAAAGTATTGCAAAAACTCACTTTACAACTCAACTATTTATGAATTCATATTCAACGTTCATATTTTCTCTCCAAATTAATTGAAATTCGAGTATTAATAATTAGTTAATTGTTATTTCTTGATTTGTGTAAAAAACAATGTTTTAATTAAAACTGCGTATTGTTTGAAGCGGAAAAAGCGAAAGAGACGTGGGAAAAGCTGAGAAGATGTTTTGCTAACGCGTCGAAACGACGTCGCGATAAAATTGGTCCACAAACTAGGAGAATCCATCCGTGGAAATACGAGCGACAAATGTCGTTCCTTTCATTGAAAAGCCAACCGTGAGTATTCGCAGCGTTTAATCGGTTAATACATAATAATTAACTCATGAGTTTTGTTCAGGCCGAAGGAGAAACCTTCGAGTGACGACGACGTAACGCAAAAAAAAGACGCAGAGGATACGATACTGCAAGAGGCGATAGTAAACAACGACTGGAAACCTTCATCAATGGAAATGGTCGACATAGTCTCGGACAATGTGGATTTGAAAAGGATCAAGGAGGAA